ATTGCAGTTGAAGAGCGCTGCAGGTGCCCTGACTTTTTTTTGTCCTAAAAGCAGTGTTGCACACGCCGACCGTCGGTGACCCTTGACTGGTCGGCTGCCGACCTGCTGACCGGTCGGCTGGTCCAGAACCCCTAATAACCTCACGAACACCTCCATACCCACCCCAAATACCCCCATACACCCCCCCAACACCCACAAACCGGCCCCCAACACCCTCATAACCCCCCCAATACCCCCTATACCACCCCTATACCCCCTATATCCCCCTATACACCCCACCCCCAACACCCCCATCCCCAAAAGTTTCTCAGCGGATTTGGGCTGTACTCAGCAAGCGCAGTACAGCATCCAACTCAGATCTGAAAAAAAATTAGTGGATGGTTGTTTTCTGACTGGTCGGCAGACCGCTGACTGGTCGGCCCTACTGGTCGGCTGCAATACGGTCGGTGGTCGGGGTCGGCGGTCGGCAGGGATGCAACCATGCCTAAAAGAACAAAACAAAAAAAAGGGAAAACTAGGGTGCTGTCATGGTTTTAGTTTGTAAATGCGTTCAGTCACAATTTTGCGAATGTTGCTCCAAAGTGAGGAAAATAGTGAATCTATACAACCAGGCTTTACGGTCGGGTGGGGATGTGCTGTATTCAAGGGATGCCTGAAGTGTATTTCCCGGGTGGGGATGTGCTGTATTCAAGGGATGCCTGAAGTGTATTTCCCTACACTTATAGAAATCGCTATTCGGCGCGCAGCGTTTGGCCAATCCGGGCCGCCCGAGGCCTACCGGCCGACGGCCCGGATTTCCGCGCGATCTTAAGACTTTAAGACTTTAAGACTAAGATCGCGCGGCGATCCAGGCCGTTCGCGGTTGCACCTGCCTGACGGCCCAGATCCTGTCTCTTATACACATCTAGATGTGTATAAGAGACAGAGGTGGGGATATGACGGGGAGACTGGGATATGGCGAGCACTGAGTCCAGGAACAGGAAACAACGGAAAAAAAAATGAGCGGTATTTCCAGCATTT